TTCACAAAATAGACGGAAAAGCCTCGGGCATTGGATACAATGTTCTGTATGCTTCCCTTCGCGTTAAAAGTATATCCACTACCAGTAGATCTGTTCTACAACGTTATAGACTACGTATTACTGTAAATGGTGGCCGTTTCAAATATTTATATTTGTAAAGCACCCGTCCCCCACCAAAAAAAATTCATACTTGCTATTTAGGACTTTTTATACTTAATTTAGACGGTGCTGTCACTTTTAAAGGAAGGAATAAAACTCATTTTCTGGAATACTATTGAGTATCTGTTTCACATTCTGTTGGGTATTAGTTACATTAAAAAACTGGTACTAACGAATTCCTGTTGACCATGAAAGTCGGCTGCCATCGAACCATGAAAGTAGACTGTGATCTCGTCAAAGTTACGCCAGTCCGTTCTGCGGAACTGTTAAGGAATTGATTCCTCGTTATTTAACAAACAGTCAGTATTGCACCTGCTTTTTTTAACCTTCGTAAAAAAGCTTTCGTCTATTTCTACTGCTTTGGTAGGCATTTTATGGGAAGCTCTGTTTAGAACGTGAGTGCAAACTTCCCGTAGATAATTGTTTCTGTAGAGGGCAGATCCGAAGTTTTAATCATTTTATCAGAATTCAAGGAAAAGGGTAGTGCGATTACAATTAATTTATCGCTTTGTTAAAAAAATGTGGCTTGTCGAAAACCAATCAGGTTTCATTAATTGAAAACGTAGGTGTGTTGTTACGCCACACTTATCCATATCTGATGCTAAATCGCCCTTCTTAGCGATAGTTTCAAGATCGACAGGATAATACTTAATTAACAGAAAATCTTCATGATAGGTAGCTTTTAATTCTGGAAAAAGTCAGAATTCAAAGATTGTTGCTCAAATAAATAGACAAGATGATGTCACTAGGTAATCGTTTTTTGAAAAACGATTATCTGGGAAATAGGTACAAATTCCATTCAGCCTATTTCCTTCCTTGCTGTCTTTGGCTGCTTGCTTCTAGAGTCACTTTCACATTTTCTCAATCATTTCTATTCCTTTATGGAACTGAAACATGCTTAAATCATAAGTATTTATCGCATTTCTCTGTGTGTGCTCTCGTGGTGTAAGTGGTTAGCACATCTAACTAGCAATTTGTGGTTTGAATCCTGACGAAAATACGGACTATTCCTCTCATTTTATGCCCCTGTAAGTTTAACAAATCTGTGCGTTAATGCCCGTACTAAAAATGTTGTACACTTTAATTTATTCGCTCCTGTATTTGGTTGATCTACACGAAGACGCCTTTAATTGATGGGAACTGTAAGGAATTATCGCATTTTCCTTCGAGAGCTTAAGAGTTATATAAAAGATTAGGATGCTCAGCTAGAAAGTGGAAGATATTTGGCTCAACACCTGAGAAGAAACAATTAATTCTTCATTTTCCTGCTTCGAAAATTATAATGATGTCTACAGACTTCGTCAAACATCTTCACTCTTTATTCCTTAGCAGCTATAATGTTTAAAAGCTCTTTTTCTGTTTTTCAGACAATGTGTCGATACGTTGCTCTAAATTTCAGTCGTTAGATGTTTATTACCTTTAAAGTAACTTAATATCGCTTTGCTTCACCTACTAAAGATTTACACTCTTATTAAATCACATATAAGGTGATTCTAAATTGTTTTTACAAATTAAGAGGGGTAATAGTACTCATCCAGACGAGCAATAATTACCATAGAGCATAGAGTCACATTCCATGTGAGAGGCAGAAAAGAGGAATATGAGAATTCCAACCTGAATTTACAGTAGTGTGGGACAGTGAATGAACCAGACCAAAAGTTGAGCAATTAATTTAGTGAAAAACTGACAGAGAGGGCACATAACAGATAAAACCGAAAACTTGGCATTCTAACGTTAATTCGAGCTGAGACTCTGATGGCAAACACTCAAATGCACATCTTTACTTTGCAAGGTCTCAACCTCGCAAACGTTAGCAACAAGTTAATTATGTAAGCAAGGGCTGAGTATTATCAACTAACTCCAACTTCCGCTATATGCCAAGATTAGAATGAAAAGTCCACGCTGTGTTTAGCCTGTCAGAACTTCGTATCCCATAGAAGGGCGCTTCAAATAGAATGAGCGCAGCATAGTAAGCTCAGGGAGACATGATAGAAGATAGCGAAGGGAAAAAAACTGCTACCTTGGGGATAGCATCAAACCTACCTTGAGTTGGAGTTAGTTGATAATATTCCTTGATTAGATTATTAACTTGTTGCAATCGTTTGCGAGATATAGTTTGGGAACGAAAGACGAGCATTTGAGTGGTTGCCATCAAAGTCTCAGCTCGAATTAACACACGAATGCCACGTTTTCGGTTTTATATGTTGTGTGCACTCTCTGTCAGTTTCTCACTAAACTGATTGCGCAAATTTTGGTGTCGTTCATTCGCTTTCCCAACATTGTTGTAAGTTTACTTTGGAATTCTCATATTCCTCTTTTCTGCCTCTCAGAGCGGAATGCGAACCTATGTTCTATAGTAATCATTGCTCGTCTGGATGAATACTATCACCTCTTTTAATTTGTAAAAACAATTTAGTATCAACCTGTATATTCAAACTTGAATATGCATACGGTTTTCGGATAGTTGCAGCAGAAGTGACTCTACGTGGCCATTTCCGGAATTCAATTGTCCCATTTTATGCATGTTATCTTTCATACATTGGTTAAAAATTTGTTTCTAGTATCTTCGACATCTAAGCAAGTCATCTCTAAAATAAATTGTAGCATATTTTAAACACTAATGCAGTCGTTCTGCGAAAATATTTTAAATATGTGTAACAGTTTGGATATACTTACAAACAACAAACCATTAAGATTAGGTATTTTTAGCCATTTATTTTGGCATATTTTTTTTATATTCCACTGAGGCAAAGCTCCTCCTCAGTGGCCAAGTGGATAAGACCTCCGAACACTGCTAATTCGATACAGGTTCAAACCGCAGTAAAAGGGCTGGCTGCATGGATTTTGTGGTTTTCCTTATGTTTAATATGACCAGAATCGTTTTTTCTTTAGAAAGAAAACAGCGAAAATCTTCTTCCGTTTATGCAGATTGCACTCATGAGCTTTGCCTTAAATAAGTCATCTAATCTAAAGTAATCTACTGTATATGTCATCCAATCATACATAACTAACTTCCCTTTTCCTTTGCGCATTTAAAAGTTTCGATTAACAGCAATCATTTTTCAGCTACTCAAGTATTCAACATTATTCATATTAAATCTAAACATTTCTTTAAAAGTGAAAGCATCGCTAACTAAAAGATATGTATAAATTTGCATGACAGATCAGCTTCACTGTGGAAATCGTCCTACTTTTTAATGGCAAATCCTTAGTTTCCTTTTCCGTTCTGCATTTAAGTGTTTTGATAAAGATGAATAATCATTCTACATTTGAAGTATTATGATCAACTAGTGTTCAGGAAACTGCGTGAAATAATTATCTAATCAATATGCGTAAAACTTAATACCATTATTCACTAAGTGGTATATATTTTATTTTCATTATAAAACAAATACAAGGTGGTCATAAAAATGTCTTTGGTATATGAACCTCTAGCACTCAACTAGTCGAAATAAAATTTCCGGTATTGTTATTCGAAGGTATGCGTTTGAGATTGTGATGATTTAAAATAATACAGCTCTGCCGGTTAAGGTTACAGTGAAAACATTTCGAAATCTTCTAAGGACAACACCCACTATATTTCTTCGCAAATTGATCAGTGCATCAAAAACCAATAAAGGACCTTGTTACGATGCATTTATGATTCAAATTGCTGATGTGAAACATTAAAAAAAAAGAGCATTCTAAAGGACTAATGACAACACAACAGAGGAGAGGGGGAAAGACTTTATTTGGAATTTTAACTTTTCAACATATTCAATGTTTCATGTCTTGTAACGTTGGAGTTCTGTGGCCACCGACCTCACTACGATGGATATCAGGTTCCTGGGATATCTGAAACTAAGATGTAGTACACATCAATTAAACGAGATTTGTCAGAATTGAAAGGTGTTATAAAACGTGAAGTTGTACAGATTACTTCTGTGATGTTACATTTGTCATTCTTGTCAACAATCTCCTGCATGGAATAGGTTATCTTCTGTGATGATGCACTCGTTGAAAACTTTATAAGGTATTTCTCCCACTTCCCTAGCGTGCCTTCGTGGTGTAACGGTAGCATGCTGGGCCGGTATTCCAGAGGTCCATGGTTCGATCCCGGTTGCTTATTTTTCATCTCTCCGGGTTTCAAAAATACCTAATGTCTCTTCAACTTGTAATTCCTATAAGTTTTTTCTCCTTCTCCTCTATTGTGTTGTCATTGCCCTTTATGATTCTCTCGTTCACGACGGCATTTTTTTTGTCATACGTGTATTTTTACAACGCCATTTACGGTTTTCTGAGAACTGATCAATTTGCGCAGGAAAAGTTTGGTGTTTACCACTCGAAAATTTCGAAATTGTTTTATTGTAACCATAACCATGAGAGGTGTATTGTTTTAAGTCATCGCAATCTGGAGTGCATACTGAAATAAAAGTGTCTGAAAACTTTACCTGATTATCTCTTTTACATGCATCAGAAAACTACGTTGTTCCGAAACTTTTAAAGATTCTCAGCTTTACCTCGGATAAAAAAAAGAAATTAACCTTAGATATATATCAAAAGTTCCTAATACTATTTGGAATATAAGCTTAAGGTAATAGCCTACTTTGAACTCTTCTTTTCAATTTATTTAGTTTAAAGTTATCGAAAGGGAGAGCACATTTTAGGTTTTGGCACACTAGATAAAACTTCGAAATATTACCTTAATAAAACACTACTCGTAACGTAATTTGGCATTTTTAGGCTTTGCCTTGTGTTTCTTAGTTCTGGTAGCTGCTTATAGAAAAATAAGATATAATTTATGAGACTTTAGTCTTCAGTGATTTAATTGGTTGGAAAATTTACAAGAATTTTTAACTTACGTTATCGTCACCGTTAGAAAAGTTAGCAAGTACGCTGACTGGTTGGTACATTGTATAATACTGAGGCTTCGGTGGCAGTGGTGGCCTTATCTCCACTGTACAGTACTTTCCTCGGAAGTATTGTTGTCCTGGAATTCGTTTCTTTGAATCGGCCATAGCAACGATATTGACGCATTCATCATAGGCTCCAAATGATGTTACGGTTCCTTGAAGCATTCCAGCAGGGGGTTTCCCAAATGCGTCGATCACTGAAAAATAAATTTCAGATACAAAAGATAGCAAGGTACAATAGCCCGAAAGTCAGATTTGCATAGTTTAACTCTTTCATACCGCTTTCTCCCACGTATGCAGAAGAATATAAGAAAACTCCTGTGGAGATTATTACGAAAAAAATCATCTCCTATTTCAGTTACACATATAGACAACTAGAGAAACACCTACATAATCAGTCTATTCCACTGATAGCAAGTGAGCTAGAGTTACAAATGTTTAGTGAGCATAAGTTTAGTTACATAGTAGCTACAGCTTGCAAAAAAAAATATGATGGAATATGGAGTGCCTTTACTTAGATGGAAGCAAGTCAGGAAATGAACATTAGACAGACAAATATAAGACATGAAAATCCTTCTGAAAATGCGAAACTAAAATTACATACATATATTAATATTATAAAATGAATCTAGTGATAAATTTGATTATATCCTAAACATTTTGCTGATTTACATTCTTTTAACCTTCTGATGTCTTTTTTCTAACAGAGAATTATATTCAAGTTGTATTATGCTCATACATATTTATAAGGTTTAGTGATAAATGAAATAAAAGTAAAATAAGAAATTTCTGCGCTTAAGCTGCAAAGGATTGAATTTAAGAAATTATTAATATTTATTAATTTAAAAAAAGATTATCCTCTCCTAGGAAAAGATTTTATAGGAATGAGAAGTGCTATTAGGCAATCGAGGGTGAGAATGTGCTATTATTTGATATTAATTGCTTAACATATTGCTTTATTATATTGTTATTATTGAGAGATAGTAGCGGTAAGGATCTCAGAAAGGCGCGAAGAACGAAATATATAGTAGGCACTCATTAATTATCCAGTTTGAATGTTTTAAATATGTTAAATACACTGAAGTGCCACTGAATTAGGGATAACAAGTCCATGGCGAATTGTGCCTTGGTAATGGGTGCTACACGACGAGGCATAAATTCAACAAGTTTGCGGAAGCATTCTACGGGAATTGATTGCAAAATATCCATTCACGTAGAATAGATAGAGTTGTCCATAATTCAGGAAGAATCGCTAGTGTTGTGTGTGCGTTTTCACACATTTCTCCAAAACATTCAAAAGGTGCTCAGAACGATTTAAGTCAAGGCTTCTAGGTAGCAAAGAAGACATGACAAATAAGTCAGAGGAATGCTCATCCAACCAGGCAGTACCCAGTCGGGACCTGTGAGAGGTGCAGTTATATTGTTGGAATGCTCAATTTCCGTGTGAATGGCAGGACAACATATAAATGAATGGAGATGATGGTCCAGCAACTCTACGTACCAAATCATATTAAGGAAGTTTGGTACAGGTACCAAAGATCCAAGGTACTGCAAGAGAAAACAGGCTAGACCATGATTGCGCCGCCATGGTCTTGTACATTTCCGACCTGGGATGTAGGATACGTGTCTTCATGAGCCTGACGCTAAATTTTCAGCCTCCTATTAGTGTTACTACGTTGGAATCAAGACTCATCCCTCCATAGTACTCGCTTCCTGTTCTCTAGAGTCTATTTTTAGTGTTGTCTTGCCCAACCCAGTACTCTGGACCTATGGCTGCTGAAGCCTATATGATGAAGCGAGTTTTGCACAATACGCTTACTGACTATATGACTGGCGTCCTGATTCGCATGGGTTGTAATCGAAGCTAACGTTTGGCTTCGCTGGCGATGTACAATACGGCTGATACGTCTCACACCACGTTCGTTCAAGGCTAATTGTCCAGTGCAATTTGCCTGATTGTTGAAATTACAAATTTTGATTAAAAGAAGCGAAGGGAAAAAAGAAGCTTATTTCTATTTTCATGCAAAACTTGAATTGATTTGTAACAAATTATTTTAAATAAATGCCCATTTTTTACATTGATTTGTTACTAATTTTCTTGACTTTATCAGCTGCTTAATACTATACTTCTATACTTTGATTCATATACACTTTTTATTACGTAGTGATGATGATAAATTATCATACACTCACATAAATAGTATGCTCAAATGCCAGCATACTCAAATGAACTCCGATTACCCATGATATGCTATTTTAATCCTTTTTAATAATCAGAACTCGTATTTTCATATCGCAATTCGCTTTTTCAAATTAATTTAAAGTGGGGTGCCTTTTTTGACGTTCAAAATGTCTATAGCTTTCTCTTTTTAGACTAAGCGCCTCTTAACGTTTATCCAGGGCCATTTTGATAACATTAACCGAATGATAACACTAAGCAGTAAGAAAAAGATGTGTTTCAAAATATTTTAAGTTTATCTGATTATAACAAAGCACACTAGGGCTATGTGCCTAAGGGAAAGGATGCCTTCTTGAAGTCTTTCTAAGGGAAACTGGCTCGTACGCACGTTACACATGAGACGCGCATGCAGCCGGCCCGTTTATGGGATTCAAGCCTCGGACTGAGCTACCAGTGTTCAGCGACTTTACCGCTCGGCCGCTGGTGGGCCCTTTAAAATAGCAATGGAGTTTATTGAATTTATTATAAATATAACCAGAAATATATAAATAGATACTTTAATAGCATTTTAACTATAAAAAGGCAAAAATTACTTTATGAACTATTTACAATATCTTTAATACAAAACTTCATGTATGAACTCTTCATAACATTTTTAGAAATTATCGGACAGATGCTAAACTCCTAAACTTAATACCTGGAGAGCATACCTTGTTGAAAGATAACATGCAAATGTAAAATTAAAAGTTAGGCAAAGAAAAGCATCCTTACTAAATGTTTCGGTAGACCTTTTTTTTTTTTCATAGGCCAGAAAAAAACTCTTCAGGTTTTTTTTTTTCCGAGGGAGGCGCTCCTGAAGAATAATATCATATGTCTGACCAAACTCAGAATTTATATAGTTATTTAAAATCTATGCCAAACTAAGTTTTTTTTTTATTTTCTTCTTATTATTATTTTTATTTATTTATTTATTTATTTGCTAAATTTTAAATAGCTGTTTAACGTTTAAAATCGAAGCCAGCGACATTTCTCATTTTATAATCTATTTTGATCTAATTTAGCGTCTGTAGTTTAGTTTTAAAATGTATTCTAAAATATTTTAATCATGTGAATTAAGTTATTGATCACAATATGCGAGATGTATTTTACATATTTTCGTATACAAATGGGCGGAACTTGAATAACAGCATCCGAATGATAACATTAACAGCTATCACATTAAACGGTGTCTATTGTGCTTCTGTTATTCTTCAAATTTTGTTCTGTTGCATGGACTACTAGGAACTTAGGAACAACAAACTGAAAAATCATACATACATTTATGAAATGTACAGTAATATTCTCAGTGTTACTATATTAATAGGTAAATGAAAAATCTCCTTGAAGTAATAATATCAATAACATCCCTGTTCAAAATTTGTTTAATGTGCGCAGTACTGCTAAAGTTCTATACATACCGTATATACCCGCGTATAAGTCGACCCCCCCCACTTCGATATAAAAAAATTCGTAGAAAATAAGAAACCCGCGTATAAGTCGACCCCCCCACTTCCGAAATCTATCGAGAAACTTAAAAATTTTTTTAAGTACTACATTTATTCAAAATCATCTGAAAAAAAAAGTAAATATACGATAAAAAGTACCTAGGTAAATAAAGAAAATCAAAATCCTTCAACGTACGATTCATGGTCAGATTCGCCAAATATTTCATAGAACTCTTCTCTCGTCATTGGCTCGTCATCATACATATTTTCAGTCTCGAACTCTATTGTTACAATCACTACTAGAGCCTTCGTCATCATTTTCACTTTCAAAAGCAGCAGTTATCATCTTCCGTGCCGTCTTAGTTCGTTGCTAATAAAACATTTTTTAAATGATTTTATAATCATTTCAGAGGATATTTCATTTCAAGCATCTTTAACCCACTGAGCAATTAATGTAATATTCGGCTTTTTAATGCTTGCCTGCCTTTGTAAATGTTGGTCGACGGAAGTAATCCACTCTGGATAATTGGGAAAAAATGATCGTATACAGTAACCTAGAATTTGTTCTGTAAAAGATTTGCTTACGGAAAATCTCAAAACTGTTCAGTTATTGTGTGGGCTATTTTTTTTTAAATTTTGACGTGTACGCTTGTTAACAAAGATTTCGAATGAACAATAACTATTATAAAGACTTATACTGCGCAAAAAACTATCTGCATTTCTCTTTCTTGGCGTGTTGGCGAAAACTTTTTATGCTCGATCTTGATCGGTTGTCGGGCCCGAAAATTCTTTGTTTAATCGAAACTACTCTAGTTAAAATATGAAAAACTCTGTGATTAGTCGTCACATAATTTAAGTCATGAAATTACTTCAAGTAAGTGACTATTTATCGTCCATTTGAGGCGCGAAAAAACAATGGAATTTATAAGAAATTTTTAACTTCGATTCTTTAATTTTTTATGCCCGCTTATAAGTCGACCCCCCCTACTTTGAAGTCTTTTTTTTGTCTAAAATATCTCGACTTATACGCGGGTATATACGGTATATAACTTAATAGTAAAGTCTTGGTGTCCTGTTTATTTATTTCTGCCTGGTCTTGTCCTACTATAGTTCCTTATGACACTATCAGGCCTTTTGTCGTCTACACGGGATGCAAGTATTTTGATTCCAATATGAAGTAACGCATTTCGTTTGATATCCTCTCTACGTTCTTGGAATTGGTGCTATAAGATCTTTATCAGTGATCCCCCCCACTTCGATATAAAAAAATTCGTAGAAAATAAGAAACCCGCGTATAAGTCGACCCCCCCCCCACTTCCGAAATCTATCGAGAAACTTAAAAATTTTTTTAAGTACTACATTTATTCAAAATCATCTGAAAAAAAAAAGTAAATATACGATAAAAAGTACCTTGGTAAATAAAGAAAATCAAAATCCTTCAACGTACGATTCATGGTCAGATTCGCCAAACATTTCATAGAACTCTTCTGTCGCATTGGCTCGTCATCATACATATTTTCAGTCTCGAACTCTA